ACAGAGTACGCTTAGCAAAAATCACTTCCGCGCCGTCAGCGCAACGACGAGCGTGGAGTTGCCTTACTATGCATTTTATCAGTGATTGTAATTTTGATTGTTAATTGCAATTTTAACTAAATCATAATTTATGGGGAATAAAAATTATTTCAAAGATATGAAATGTTCACTATAGGCTTTTTTTCACTCCAAAAATATAGAGAGAACTTGTTAAATCTGCAAACTCATAATAGATCAAATTGACCAGCTCTTACTTACTTCGTCAAAATTTAAAAATTAAATGAAGATCGGTCTAAATTTAATACAAAGTTTTTATATCGCACGCTAGTTTATTTCCATACATACTTACCTGACCCCATTTTAAATTAATGTCGTGAAAATTATTTAATTGTTAGAGAGCTAAATACCATTTCAAAGTAAGACACAGTAGGAACATGAAAATATCTAATAAATATAAAAGTGTTTTTTTTTTATTGCGAAGAAACAGCAACCACATGACTCAATTTAATTGTTATTGTAGGAATTCTTGTTAATCAAGCGGAATCACTTGAACGTGTGCAAATATATAAACAAGTGCGCAGTGGTGATTTAATACTCTTTATTTAGTATGATCTGATTGAAAAGGATGCTACCTATTTGGTTATCTAAATCTTTTATTTGTATTATACATTTTAGTACCGACACATTATCGGTATAGTATAAAAACTGTTGCTTCAAAATTCTAAGAATACCTCTACTTCATTAAAGGGACATTATTTTTTTAATTGAGGCGAAGTTTATTTGCATTACAGCAAAAAGTAAAGTTACAGCCTCTGCTGGCCACAGTCTTGCTCTCATTTCCAAGAGGGTTTTAAGGCAAAGAATCTTTCGCCGCGCTTCCCAATGCGTGTAACGGATTTCAAATGTCTGGGAATCTTTTTTAACTTCTCAGACATGTAGATTTCCTTACGATATTTATTTTTACGGTCGAGCAAGTGGTAAATAAGGACTTAAAATTGCAAATTAACAATTTAATTGGTGCCGCCAAAGACCCGGATTGCTCGCGTACTGTGAAATTTATGAAAAGCTCTCAATTCTGGTATGTATAGAGGAGTTACGACCTCATTTAACGGAGATTTATACGTGGTAGAATTACCTTGCAGCTATATTATGGTCGTAGCAAAAATGGGTCGGCTCGACCGGGGAAAGAGCACATTCTCACAGAATACCAGCGTAAAATAGCATCTCAATGCTGCTGAGTTTCGCGTGGTGAGTGTAGAGAGGCGGAGACCCTTTTTACTGGAAGCGAGGCATCATATCTTAATCTTCAGGGGTGACAACGCATCTGCATTTTGATTCTTAATCGAGGATAGATATAGTTGTCTATGGGCCACAGCATTCACTTATTATCAGGTGGACTGTGTGCTCGTTTGTCACCCTTATTCTATAAAAAAAATTATTATATATTACGGTTTAATGATGATATGGTATAAAACTATGGTTAAATAAAATATTCGTGGATACTGCCTACTCTACACATTATTGCGTTCTCAAAGTGCAGGGGCGTCAAAAAACAAAGGGTGTAATGGGGCGCACAGGCGCCGCTGCGTAATTGCCACTCGTTTGCACAAGTTCTAATATCGAATATCCTTAAGGGACTAAAAAACCTATAGTTTATTGATACCTAATCAAATATTAACAAAACGTGTAATTTGTGGCCATAAAAATAGACCTTAGAAAAATAGAGAAAACATTATTATTTATAGGTAGGTACTAAATATGTATCAGAGACAATAAGTATCTAAATACAAAATTTATTTATTTATTTATTTATTTAACAAGTACACTTACAATATACATATATGACATTGTCACAAAAACTTACACACTTTTATATTTTCTGATATGCATATCAATTACAAGTGTACATAACATTTACAGATTGAGTCGTGCAACTTAATTTAGAATTAATTTGAGGTAGGAAAAACATACAATCAATGCAATAAAATGAGAAATAATTTAAGTAAATTATGTTACTAAATAGGTAAAAAAATCAAATTAAAAAAAAAGAAACCATGTTCAATTATTGGGAAAGAAAATGGTAGATATTTAGAATTGGATTTTTGGAATTGGTAGAAATTACGCTCTTTTGGTGCCATTTATGAAATTGCTTTTGTATTACGTTCTCTAAGATAACAATAATAATATTTATTACAAATCATGTAACAAAAAAACATTACAGATTGAGTGTTTCAATAAATGTATATGCCAATAGCTGGCTACCTACTGCTTCAGTTTCCCTCTGTTGCCTCTTACGACATCCACAGGATGACTTGGGATAGTACATTCTCTTACACTGCTACCACATATATAAATACATACATATACACACATACATACATGTCAAGCTAACAAAAGAGTGTTAAATAACCTTAATACTAACAATACACAACATTAGGAATAGAGTTTTAAGCACTAATGATATCACAAGCAGAAATTGTAAGCAACACTATCAATTTGTAATGATTTCGATTTAAAAGCGTTAAATTGGAGCATATTTTACAAAAACATTTCCCCTCTTGTAAACACAATGGAACCTAAGCGCGTCGAGATGATCGAGTGGTCCCCCTTTAAAAACAATATGCGACGAATTTTGCCGTTAATTGGCGGAAGTGTATTAGATTTTTTTAGCGTCAACAATTTTTTCGGATGACGGAATATAATAGAGTGGGGAGAGGGTGACGTACCGTAACTACTCTGTGGAAAAGTGCTTGTGTCTGTCAAATGTTTTCGCGCCCAATTTGGCTCATCAGCTGTTTTGTTTTTATTTTTTTATTTATATGATTTTAGTTTTTTAATGAGTCAATTTGTGTCTTTACATATAAAACTATATGAGACTTCAATATATAGATTTTTCTCGCTCCAATAGAATAGCAATATTGATTTAGGCGAGTCAGCTCTATTATCTCAATTTTTTTTATAGAATAGAGTGACAAACGAGCACACAGTCCATTTGATAGTAAGTGGTTGCTGCGATCCATAGACATCTACATCTATCCTCAATTAAAAATCAAAATGCAGATGCAGAATGCCTCGTTTCCAGTAAAAAGAGTCTCCGGTTCTCTACACTCGCCATACGAAACACAGCTTCGTTAAGTTGCTATTTTACGCTGGTATTCTGTGAGATCGTGGTCCTACCCCGGTCGAGCTGACCCATTCGTGCTACAACTACACTACTATAAAGCTGCAGCATGGCCCTACCACCAGTGCCGGTCTGACGCAAGTTTTAAGATGGAACGAGATTCAAGTATGGCGCCCCCCTTGCTTGCCCCTAATATTTACAAGTTGTGCGTGTAAGGATAGAACTGGGAAGATCTCTACAAAATCTTAAGTCTATGTCTAATTTGTCGATTGAAAAAAGCCATGCTCGTGGCACTGCACTCCTTACGGTATCTATAGGAACAGTTGATGTAGAATGAAAAAACAAAATTAAACATTTTCTTATTTTTTCGTTCGCGAATTCTTTCAAGCTCCTGGTTTATTTCAGTTTTTTCAGCTATATCTTTAGCTGCAATGAGGGTCTTTGTTAATCCTTCGTCTCTATATTCTTTCAAAAATGTTAAACATTTGTGCATAATTTTTGTAGCATCTATTAGATCTATGCACTCTGCTTGCATGGATTTGCTGACAAGATTAACGTGGAATAAAACGTCGTACCAAATGACTAAATACAGTAACTCAAACTTCTCCAAATTGGCTGCAAGTGGCTTCCTAACTTGCCACGGGATCAGTTGTGTCGATACTCTTCTTCCACGGCACTTTTTACTTCGGCGTATTGATACCGCACAGCCTGCAAGCTGTTGATTCTACTTTCCCATCTTGTTTCACACACCTTCTTTAAAGTTAAGTTCAGGTCGAAAAAGCGTACAAATAAACGCGAGAATGCCGCACTCGTCTCAAAAAATAAGACCATACGCACACATACCAACTAGCCACACATTCGAAACCAAAATATTGAGAAGCGAGGAAAGTTTTTTGATTACTGAAACACATGAGTAAAGAAACGCTTCTAAGTAGCATGCAAAATTGTTACCTAAATAAACTAAAAGATTGTATTTTTCTATTACGTACGTTACTATGCTATTATAAAATTTGACTGAGGCGCCTCCTGACACTTGGCGCCTGGAGCGACCGCTCCGTTTGCCCTATGGTAGGGCCGGCCCTGCCCACCACGTATAATTGTCTGTGTGTATAATATGATGCTAAGATTTAAAAAAAAATTGCCAGATCATATTTAAATTTGAGTCAGACAGTTCCTTGCTTAACAGCAAACCTTCCCAGAAATGTGAAATGGCCTGTACCTAGAAAGTTTATAGGTTGTAACTATACTTTTGCAGTCGGTATAAATGGCGACGGCAGGCGAAATAGTACCAAATGTCGCACACCTCTGATGATGCTCGCTATCGCCTGTCTGGACATATAGCATCTTTTTGTAGAAAATGACTGACAAACGAGCACACAGCTCACGTGATAGTAAGTGGATACTGTCGCCTATATACCTCTATCCTCGATTAAGAATCAAAATGCAGATTCATTGTCAACCCTGAGGACTAATATGGAATGCCTCATTTCCGGTAAAAAGGTCTCCGGTTCTCTACGCTCACCATACGAAACACAGCAGCGTTAAATTGCTATTTTACGCTGGTATTCGTTGAAAGTGTGGTCCTTCCCAGGTCGAGCTAACCTATTCGTGCTACAACCATACTATAACTGCAGCTTAGCTCTGCCATGTAAAAAATCTCTGTGTCTAGGATATATCTCTATCTCTGTATTAAAGAATAAAACTTTTGGTTGTAGACTCTTCTATTGATGGCCACACGCAGACCGATGGGCAAACCATATCCTACGAGCACTTTCCTAAGTCGCTTTTTACGAGACACGGGATGATATGAGGCAATTTTTTAAGAGATCTTATGCGATGCAAGTTATTGTATGTATTAATAATAAAATATTGTCAACAGAGTGGCTACACTGACAGGATACGAACCCCAGGATCTCATCGAGAAAACGCTCTATCACTTCATCCATGGAACGGATGTGCTTCACATGAGATATTCTCACTGCACGTGTAAGTATATACGAGTATGCTTTTTTTTAAATAAATAAAATAAAAAGTATTTATGTTTTTATATTTTTATGTTGGCAGCAATAACTTATGGTACTATGGTTCTTTAGAAATACGCAGTGATTGTATACTCTTTGTTCTTTACTGTCGACCATATGAGGAAACTAAAAGCTGGGAATTCTCTGCGTAACAAACATATCCGCAATAAAACCTGAGTAATAAACACAGCCTAAATTAATAAGTAACACTATGAACCAGTCATATAGCTAACTAAACATAAATTAAAATATAAAAATCTATTTATTGCTTTCTGACAACTCTGTATTATTTTTTTCTTTTCGATTCCAACATTTCTGTATTATTATTTTTAAACTCAGGACCTTGCTTTGTGGCACTACTTAGGATGTACCTAGTTATGCAAAAATGATTCAACCCACATTCCGATCAAAAATAGTTATACCAATATTTTTTACGTGGTAGAGCCACGCTGCAGCTATATTATGGTTGTAGAACGAATGTGTCGGCTCGACCGGGGTAGAACAGAGAATACAAAAAAACACAGAATACCAGCGTAAAATTGCAGCTTAATGCTGCTGAGTTTCGTATGGTGTCTCGAAATGAGGCATTACATCATAGTCCTCAGGGGTGACAACGCATCAGCACTTTGATTCGAAATTGAAGATAAATTTAGATGTCTATGGGCCACAGCATCCACTTATCATCGGGAGGATTGTGTGCTCATTCGTCACCACCATTCCATAATAAAATACAATTACAGCAAAGGTGAAAATTACAAAATTACAAACTATCTCAAGCAAACCCTTATAATATTATTAATAGAAACTATTATTAGTGATCCAACCTTCAAACATCAATACCACAAACCTGCTTTTGTGAGGAATATTTTTGCATAGCTACATCCACTTGGGGTATGCCGATGTTCAGCATTCGACATGTTTGTGAAGGACTGTAATGACGTGGTTCAGTTTAATCTCAGGTATACATAGATTTATATTTATTTTTCTCCAACAGTATTAACAAAAGGCCAAGTAACGTCCCGCTACTACCGCTTTCTAACAAAGTCCGGCGGCTGGGTATGGATGCAGAGCTATGCCACCATAGTACACAACTCGCGGTCATCCAGACCTCACTGCATCGTATCGGTTAACTATGTACTTAGGTAAGTCACTAGGATAGTAGTAATGATTTTTTTACGTTTACGCGAACACTACACACTGAATGAAACTATTTTTTTTTTATATTCCATGGTCACCCATGGTCACGGTGGGACCGAGATCTTTGATGTACCAATGTCATACCAGTTAACCACGGGTAGCTTCAATTTAAAATCATTATATTTTATTTTTGTTAATATTTGGTCCGATTTACGCAAAAGGAAGTTATAGTATCTTGAAGTCTTGCTGTTGAATTATGATATAATTTTATTAATTGTAGGATCCGTGAGAGATTCGAACCTGCGGCCATTGCGTCAACTCAAAGCTAAGCTACTGCGCGAAGGAGCAGTTTATCAGAATCGTCTGTCAGAATCTAATATAATAATTTTATTCAACATAGATTACGAGTAATATTATTATTATGTTATATATGCTTTTGCCACTAATTTGTAAAAAAAAAAGCCTTCATCATGGGACCAGCAAGAGACCATTCGGATATACAATAAGCGTATAGTGGCGTTGTAAGAATATCCATATGCCATGTAGTCCCGTGAGTGTCGTGTCGTGAGAGAAGACGGAGGGAAACTAACCAGGAGATGGATAGCAGCATCTTCGTAATAACAACTAGAAAAAAATACAACCCGCTTGGCGAAAATGTGCCAACTGTGTCAAACTCTCTGTTAAGGCTTTCTATGAGTAGGCTTATGTTCTGCCGTGGACTTTAATAGGTTTTAATTAATGAAAAAATGTACAACATATATTGTACCGTTGTTACAGCCGCGTGGTGATGACGTAAGAGAATCAACCACCTCATTTTGTCCCATTAGTGTCGTAAGGAGTGATTATGGGAATCTCAAAAAAAATCTCTTGGATTCATATAGATAGAGGCAATGATATTCTATACAAATAAATAAAATTTAAGTGTCTGTTTGTTATGTTTAAATAACGGTACTTGTAAAAAAAAACAATTTTTAACATTTTTGTTTGTTTGTCTGTTCCGGCTAATCTACGAGATAGCTAGACTTATGTATACCTATACAGGACTTTCACTGGTAGATTGCTGATATTATGAGTGACTTAGGCTACTTTTATTTTAGGAAAATATATAGGGTTTCGCGTAAAAAAAAATATATCATGAAATCTAATCGTAATAAATTAAACGCGGATGAAGTCGCCGGGAACATCTAGTTATAAATAAAAAGAATTAACATTGGAAGGAGATTGAACCATCTCGTTTAAGTCATTTGTAAAATATTCAGACAGGCGGCGGAAACTCTGTCGAAAGTACAAGACGTCTGGTACTGCGAACTTCAGTCTGCCTGCCATGTTTTTTTTTTATGAATTAAGGGTGACAAACGAGCACTCAGTCCGCCTGATCGTAAGTGAACGCTGTAGGCCATAGACATCTACATTAAGACATTATCCTCAATTAAGAATCAAAGTCGTCAACCCTGAGGTATGAGATGGAATGCCTCGTTTCCATTAAATTGGGTCACCGGTTATCTACACTCACCATACGAAACACACAGCGTTAAGCTGCTATTTGACGTTGGTATTCTGTGAGAGCGTGGTCCTACCCCGGTACACCTGGCCCATTCGTGCTACAACTAATATAGCTGCAGCGTGGCTCTACCACGTATAATATAAATGTGTAACAATTAAGGTGAAAGCTCCAGGGTGGCCCGCGAAATTCAAATTTTCTTACGTTTTTTGGACTTTGCAGGTCAAGGTCAGGTTGAATGTTTAACAAAATATTATTCGCGACCGTAACGAGTATGTGTTTACAGAATTATTATCTTTAAAATCACCAATACAACCCTCTAAGGTCATATAATTCCTTTGAATGAGTTTTTCTGTAAACAGCCATACAATAGAATTATACGAACTTAGGGGGTTGTATTGATGATCATAATGATTATAATTCTGTAAATACATACTTGGCACAGTCGCGAATCATATTTTATTAAACATACAACCTGACACTCACCTACAAATTGCAAAAATCGTAAGAAAATTTGAATTTCGCGGGCCACCCTGGAACTTTCACCTTAAGGCAAATGCACATGAGAACAGAAGTCTATGTCAAGTAGTGGACATATACGAACGTGATAAATAATAAGAAGTATATTGCATGTTCAAATATAAAAACATAAGAACACACATACTGTTTTAGGACTCTATTTCTGCCTAGGAATAGACCTATAACTATAGGTATAGACCTATACCTATATGTATAGGTAGGTATAGATTGTTCGCTAATTATCGCTTCGTCTCACTTGCATACTAACATTATTTTTTATTTGCAGCGACATCGAAGAAAAACATCTGATACTAAATATAGACCAAGGTCCGCCGAAGCTGAACAGCCATACGGAAGTGCCAACGCCATCCCACGTTCCCACCACCACCACATCACCACAAATGCCGCACGTCAGACATACAGACAACAAGGTCAACCATATACATCTAAACGAAAGCGATTTCAGCACAGACTCGAGCGGTGGCTACAATTACCCGGAGTACACGTTACCAGTAATGCCGCCATACGAAACACCCGAAGACTACCACCAACCACAAAATGGCCCCTATGAACTATTCTACAACGAAAATTACACGGAACCGGAAATTTTACCAAACAATTACGCTTATCCTCAAAACCAACGCCCGTTCTCTGCCAGCTCATCAAGCTGCAGTTCAATAGAAAGCTCGGAGATCGCAAATCAACAATACAATTACACCAATTTGATCTCTTTCTATGGACACAACAGTCAAAATCAAAATGGTAGACCTTTACAGGGTAATTTCGGCGGGAACTTCACCAAAATGGCGCCGAGTCCTACAGTACAAGAAGGCGCGTATACAAGTGTTATAGTTGACAATACTCAACAGTTTCATCATCATGGCGGAAGCGTTAATGAATTTGTGCACTGAGAAATGCTTAAATGTTTATTTATTTTGAAAGTACAATTCGGTTACTAATAACATATTTTAAACGTTTCAGTAAATGCCTATTATCTATATTATCTGCGGTAGAACATTTTTTTTTTCTAACCGGCAATCAAATATTTTCATATATGAACTCTTGTTGCCGCATGCCTATATTTAAAAAAATGTAAGCAAAAAATTAAGTCTTTAAGAAACAATTTAATGTCTTACAATAATTCTGACTGCAGAGCTTATTATGTTATTAATTTTAGGGAAAATATTTATTATAATTTCAAGCGAAAGGTAAGGTACGAAGGTATAGTAATAATACAGTATAGTATTTCGTCTAAAATGGATGCATTTCTTGCCAAAACTATTTTAAAAATACGTTAAGTTTATTTGATTTAATAAAAATTGAATATAATGACTTACATAGGCATTATAATATAATTAATTTATAAGACATACATATACATACGTATTTTAGAAAGTGAAATGTTAATTAAAATGTCACCTGCCAAATTTTGTCTCTGTCACTCTCCGTGCTCCAATGATGATAAAAAAACTTTTAATTATTTAAGGCCACCGCTGGTAGTATATTTTGCATGCTGATTGATAAAATTGTAAATATTTTGTAAATAATACATAAATAATAATTAAACAGCCTACGTCTATATGTACCTACATGTACCTTATGTAGGTATCTATATGTAATAGATACCTACATAAGGATTTATGCATTTTCTTCTATATGAGAATATATAATAAATTTATTTGGAATTAAACCATTACGCATAAAGAATAAATAAACTGTTTTTCTGTTTGGTGTAACGCATATGTACTTTACAAAAGTTGTTCTTGTTTCCCAAAATTAAAATGTTATCCATATGCTTAAAGATATTTTTGACAATATAAATTATTAAAGTGTGCTACTTCAAAATTTCATCAGAAAGGTCTAAATAACTTAATTATAAACATATTTATCGAATTTATCGAAACTATTTGGCTTAGGACAAAATATCAAGCATAGACAATAATAGAGTAATCTAATGTAAATATTTTCTAGTAACTGATACATTGAGCAGTGGAATTATTATTCATATTTGGTTTTTAATTTCAATTTATTTAATAATTCAGTTAAAACTCCTAATGAATGTTTTTAAAATAAAACAACATACTATACAGCGCTACTTTGGAACGTTATTTCTCATCCTTTGTTATGACAATTAATCGAGACATGTACCTATTGTAGTGTGAGTTAGTTAAAAAAAACTACAAAATTGCTAAAATAATAACAAATAAGCATTTAGCTTACTTTCAACTTTTTTCTATAGAGTATTAAGATTTTTGTTGTTATAATTTTTTTAATGTACTTAACATAAAATATATGATAAGTGCCATTGTATCGGAATCTACTAGTCTGTAAATACGTATAAATATAATATTCTAGAAATAAGTAAAGTGAGAACAAAAAATAAATTACATAAAATTAAAAATCTCATAGGTTAGATCATGTATTTAACTTTAACTTAGTTATTTTCTAAATACCCAAAATATAAACTATCAACCAAAGCGCGTATAATGTTACACTTAGAGTCCTATACTCATTTTAATGAAACCTTACGTTAATTGCCTTTTTTATCAATATATAATGCTGTAGGCTGTCTCATTTATATATGAATAAAAAAATACAGTTCGTACCTTGAAGCTGTAGATGAATATGGTGTAATCTCTTTCTAAAAATTTGCGAGAAACGATCAATAGATTTAGTGCATGACTGCCTTTCTTATGTTTTATTAGCTTTCACTGCTATTTTATTACTTTTTGTTTTCATCTGTTGATATTATTTACTTTTAAGATATTGATTGGGTTGTATTTTTATGTAAGAAGCAATGTACCTAAAGAATTCGGCGTGTATTGAATAAACAAATTGTGATATCCCAAACATATTATTTATAGATACGAAATAATTAAACGCATTGCAAAGAATATTTGGTGTTACTTATTTAAATAATGCCCTAATAACTAATTTTGTTTTATAGTTCTTGGCGGTAGATTTCCTACTGACTTATCTTTTGAACCCACAACCTATTGAGTTCGCGGTCTACTTTTTTATTAGGCTGCTGTCGCTTCCAGTGATTTCTGTCTTAACAGTGCTTGAACTGCTGTATTGCGGTATAAAGGATAAGAGTCAGTATAATCACAGGCTGTAAAACATTCCTTCTTAGTCCTAACACGTGAGAACGCTTTTGTAGCCTTCTACGTTTGAAATTGGTTCCAGGTGTGTATGGAGTGCAGTAGCCACTTAACATCAGCAGAACTGAAAGTTCGTTTGTCACTTCAATTTATTAAAAAAGTAATGGTTGTCAACTTTGCTGAGTATTATAACAAACATGGAAGGGCTCTACCTAAACTCTACTTCATGTATTCTGCAGAAGACCTGCGTAATTGCAATTTTTATTTTGCATTAGTTATCATAGCTGATGTAGGCGTAATATATCTTTATTAACTTTTAACGGTTTAACATCCCTAAGTGCAGGAACGCACTAGCGGCTGACCGTGATGCGGCCTTCGATTTTATATGAAATCGCATGATATCGACGCAATGACTTGCAGCCTGCCGTCAACCGCACTTTTCTGGTATATAGTGTATTATTTATGACCGCACTGGTTGAATGATGCGGCGCGTCACTGCCCCTCCACGCACTCGCTGCCGTTAGCCGCAAGCCAGGCATGTTGATTCGCTTAAAGAAAAATCGATCTCCGATTCGACTCAAATCGAACATACTGGAATCGTTATAAATAAATAACTGCAGCAACTTCTTCGATGTCCATTATGTCCAATATTTCACGAAGCACTAACTATTTTGGCGGATCGCAATAGAAACGAGACGAAGCGGTTAGCCGGAATACGGCGTGCCGTTACGGCAGACGCAACGGTCACGTCGCATCACGGCCCGTCGCTAGTGCGTTATTGGGCTAAAGGTGTCATACAGGATTGCGTGGATAGTTGTTAGGAAACTTTGAAAGAGCAAGAATGTATAAGAGTTGGCCATCAAATGCCTCTTATGCGCCGAAGATCACGTCATATTATATGCGTCCTTCGCGAGCGGGTTGCAGATGAAGGTAACATTATTGAACGTTTCATTAGAAGACATGAGAATGAAAATGAACGCAGGTAAAACGAAAGTGATGGTTTTAGAAAGGGAAGAAAGTAAAAGAATATGTGAAATAAGAATAGAAGGACAGCTAGCTGTTCAAGTGGAAGAGATTGTGTATTTATATCGTCTGCTACCGGCAATCTTTCCGTACGGATATGACTTAGGGACCCTCGAGTAAAGAGCTATACTTAAATTTAAATAATGCCAATCAAATGAAAAGGAAAGGAGTATTTTTGATGAAATAACATCCATTATATTAAAATTACTTGTTATAATATAAAGAATTCAGGTAACATATTAGAATTGCGTAGATCCCCAACTGCTAAAACTAGTTGTTGTGTTTATTTGTGGTTTACTGTGCTGCAAATACGCAACTCGACATCTAGTGTAGAGTAGCATTAATACAAATGTACTATTATAATTTACTCTAAGAACAACTAAAAGATGGCGCTTATGGAAGTTGCATATAAATTAATTAAAAACACATTAATTAATTTATATGCAATTCTATAAGCTTCATTAATTCTTCATTAATGCGACATCTGTACAACAGTAAAATTATAACTTTAAAAAGCAAATCCATTTACGCTAATACAACAAATATGATAAAACGTGATAGTAATATTATTTTCATACAGCATAAGAGGCATTTACAAATTCTATAATAATATACGCCCTTACTTATAATCGTTAATAAATCGCTTACTTCAAGTGTTAATTTAAGCCTGTCTCTGTCTATTGTCATTTAGTTAAGAAGAAAAGAGAAAAAATAACTGGATTTTTTATGAAATTGAAATTTTTTATGATTTTTTATGGTCGAAAGTAGCTCTAGATATCGATTGCTTTCGAAATGATATTTAACAATAATATACAGGTAGTAAGCCGTTTGTAAATACGTTAATTATTTAAATCGAGACTTTAATTCAATTTATTAAATAATAATTCACTAATAAAGTTACTGCATAAACTTTCTATGACACCACCATAGATGGCGCTAAAGCCAACTATTATCTCGTAGATAGTAGAATCTCATCATCATTATCATTACAGCCCTTCACAAGTCTACTGCTGAATATAAGCCTCGCCGAAGGAACGCCACAAAGCAAGTTCCCAAGCCACCTGCATCCATTGACTTCCTGCATGTCTTACCAGATCGTCACTCCATCTAGTGAGGGAACGCCCTACACTTCGCCTGCCAGTACGAGGCTGCCACTCATGAACCTTTCTGCCCCATCCGTAGTCGGTTCTTTTTTTTTATAGGATAAGGGTGACAAACGAGCACACAGTCCACCTGATGGTAAGTGGTTGCCGTGGCCCATAGACATCTACATTTATCCTCGATTACGAATCAAAATGCAGATGCGTTGTCATCCGTGATGACTAAGATGGAATGCCTTGTTTCCAGTAAGAAGGGTCTCCGGTTCTCTACACTCACCATACGAAACAGCAGAATTAAGCTACTATTTTACGCTGGTATTCTCTGAGAGTGTGGTCCTTCCCCGGTCGAGCCGACCCATTCGTATTACAACTATACCAGAAATATAGCTGCAGGGCACTATTGATGTCATTGAGCATAGTACTTAGGTCCTCAAGCGATTCTGCCATAAGGTCTATATAGTCGCCAAATCGAAGGTGAGTGATGTGCTCGCCATAGATGTTAATACCATATCATTTCCAGTCCAGTAGCTTGAAAACGTCTTCCAATGCAGCGGTGAAGAGATATTACGTCACCCTGTCTTACACTCCTCTGCAGTTGGATAGGTTTCATACTCTGGTTCTGTACTCGGATAGCCAACGTAGACCTACTGTACAACCACTTCAGCACTTCGATATACCGACAGTCAA